CGCAGTATGAGAAAAAAACAGGATGAAATGGAAGCGTTGGTCAGCTCCCAGAGCTACGATACCATTGGTATTAGTGAGACTTGGTGGAATGAGTCCCACAGTTGGAGTCCTGGCATGGAGGGCTACAGGCTGTTCAGGGGGGATAGGCAGGGCAGGCAAGGTGGAGGAGTAAGGTAGAGGTTTGACTGTACAGCCCTTACAGTTAGTGATGATGTGATTGAGAGCCTCTGGATGAGGATTAGGGCCATGGGAAACAAAGCAGATATTGTGTGTGTCTACTGTCGATCACCCAGCCAGGATGTAAGCACTGATGAGTTAATCTATAGACAATTAGGAGAAATCTCTGGATTGGCAGTCCTTGTCTTTATGGGAGATTTCAACTTCCCAGACATCATCTGGGAATATCATACTGCTGTGATGAGCAGGTCTTGATGCTCAAGAGGAAAAAGAAATTATATGATCTCTGGAACCAAGGTTAGGCTTTGCAGGAAGATTACAGTGCAGTGGTTTACATGTGTAGGGAGAAAACATGAAAGGCCAAAGGTCAATTAGAGTTGAAACTGGCCAGAGTTGTGTCAGACAACAAAGAAAGACTTTTTGAAATATTCTAATAACAAGAGGATGTCTATTGAAAATATTGGACTGATATTTGATGAAGATTGTCACCTGAAAAAATGGGGATGAAGAAAATGTGCAGGCATTTAATGCTTTTTTTGACTCAGTCTTTAACATTAATTGTAGACCTTGGGCTGCCCAGTCCTGTGAGTCAGAAGACCATGGCTGCAGGAGCAGTGCCTTTCTATTTGTGGACACTGAAATTGTAAAGGGAGCAGTTGTATCAGTTGAATGTTCACAAGTCCATGGGGCCTGATGGGATTCATCCCAGAGTCATGAAGGAGTTAGTGGATGTTACAGCAGGAACACTCTCAATCATCTACTAAAGGTCTTGGGAGTCTGGGGAGGTCCCTGCTGACTGAAAGCTAGTCAGCATTATTCCAGTTTACCAGAAGGGCATGAGGGAAGACCCAGGAAATGACAGACCTCCTAGTCTAACCTCAGTTTCTGTGAAAGTTATGGAGAAGATCATCCAGGGTGCTTGAAAGGCCTTGAAAGGCATTTCAAGGACAATGCAATCATCAGGCACAGTCAACATGAGTTCACAAAGGGAAACTCCTGTCAAACTAATTTGATATGCCTCTATGATAAGGTCACCCATCTAGTGGACAATGGGAAGGCAGGGGATGTAGTTGTTCTGGATTTTAGTAAGTCTTTTGATACTGTCCCTCAGGGTAACCTTCTGGATAAGGTGTCCAACTGTGAGATGAGCAGGTATGCAATGTACTGGGTGAATAACTGACTGAAGGGCAGGGCTGAAAGGGTTGTAGTGGACAGGGCTACATCTGGCTGGAGACCAGTCACCAGAGGTGTTCCCCAGGGTTCAGTCCTAGGGACAATTCTGTTCAACATTTTTATCAGTGATCTGGATGCAGGGCTTGAATGTATCATTAGCAAGTTTATTGATGATACCAAACTGGGAGGTGTTGTTGACTCTCTCAAGGGACAAGAGGCCTTGCAGAAGGATCTGGATAGATGGGAACATTGTGCAATCATCAATGGCATGACATTTAACAGGAATAAATGTGAGATTCTGCACCTGGGATGGAGTAACTCTGGGCACAAATTTAAATTGTTGCTGCTGGAGCGTGTCCAGAGGAGGGCAACGAAGTTGGTGAAGGGTCTAGAGCACAAGTCTTATGAGGAGTGGCTGAGGGAACTGGGGTTGTTTAGCCTGGAGAAGAGGAGGCTGAGGGGAGACCTTATTGCTCTCTACAACTACCTGAAAGGAGGTTGTAGCAAAGTGGGGGTCGGTCTCTTCTCCCTAGTAACAAGTGATAGGACGAGAGGAAATGGCCTCAAGCTGCGCCAGGGGAGGTTTAGGTTAGATATTAGGAAAAAATTCTTCACCGATGCCCAGGGATGGTTGAGTCTCCATCCCTGGAGGTATTTAAAGAACGGATAGATGTGGTGCTCGAGGACATGGTATAGGTGGACTTGGCACAGATAGGTTGATGGTTGGACTCGATGATCTTAAGGGTCTTTTCCAACCTTGACGATTCTATGATTCTATGATTCTGTGAAACTGGGAGACAACTGGCTGGAGAGCAGCCCTGTAGAAAGGGCCCTGAGGGTGCTCGTTGACAGCAGGCTCAGTATGAGTCAGCAGTGTGCCCTGGCAGCCAAGAAGGCAAACCGCATCCTGGGGTGCATCAGACACATTATAACCAGCCAGTCAAAAGAGGTGATTATCCTACAGTATTTAGTGTTGGTGTGGCCTCAGCTTAAGTACTGTGTGCAGTTCTGGGCCCCACAATTTAAGAAGGATGTTAAGGTACTTGAATGTACCCAGAGGAGGGCAACAAAGCTGGTGAAAGGGCTGGAAGGAATGTCCTAAGGACTTTGTGTTTGTCTAGTGTGGAGAAAATGAGGCTGAGGGGTGACCCCATTGTTCTCTACAGCTTCCTGAGGAGGAGAACTGGAGACAGAGGTGCTGATCTCTTCTCCCTGGTGATAGGATGTGTGAGAATGGCTCAAAGCTCCATCAGAGGAGGTTCAGACTTGACATTAGGAAATATTTCTTTACCGAGAGGGTGGTCAAACACTGGAACAGGCTTCCTAGAGAGGTGGTCAATGCCCCAAACCTGTCAGTGTTTAAGAGACATTTGGACAATGCCCTTAATAACATGCTCTAGCTTTTGGTCAGCCGTGAAGTGAAGTGGCCAGGTGTCCTGGTTTTGGCTGGGATAGAGTTATTTTCTTCGTAGCAGCTGGTATAGTGCTGTGTTTTTGGTTTAGGATGAGAACAATGTCGATAACACACTGATGTTTTGGTTCTTGCTAAGTAGTGCTTACACTAGTCAAGGACTTTTCAGCTTCCCATGCTCTGCCGGGTGCACAAGAAGCTGGGAGGGAGCACAGCTGGGACAGCTGACCCAGACTACCCAAAGGGCTATTCCATACCATATGACATCATGCTCAGTATATGAAGCTGGGGGAAGAAGAAGGAAGGAGGGGCACGTTCAGAGTGATGGTGTTTGTCTTCCCAAGTAACCTTTATGCATGATGGAGCCCTGCTTTCCTGAAGATGGCTGAACACCTTGGTCTGTTGATGGGAAGTAGTGAATGAATTCCTTGTTTTGCTTTGCTTGCGTGCGTGGTTTTTGCTTTACCTATTAAACTGTCTTTATCTCAACCCATGAGTTTTCTCACTTTTACCTTTGCAGTTCTCTCCCCCATTCCACTGAGGGGGGAGTGAGCGAGTGGCTGTGTGGTGCTTAGTTGCCGACTGGGGTTAAACCACAACACGAGGCAGTTGGACTAGGTGATCATTGTAGCTCTCTTCCAGCTGAACTATTCTATTCTATTCTATTCTATTCTATTCTATTCTATTCTATTCTATTCTATTCTATTCTATTCTATTCTATTCTATTCTATTCTATTCTATTCTATTCTATTCTATTCTATTCTATTCTATTCTATTCTATTCTATTCTATTCTATTCTATTCTATTCTATTCTATTCTATTCTATTCTAAATTATATGGTATCCTGAAACCTCCCCCATGTGTTCTGCACTGAGGTTGTGATCTATATTAACAAAGTACCCATAGGGCAGGTTCTCAGGAAGTGAGGCTAGTTGGCACAACACTGTCAGTGCTTATGCCAGTAAATTATTTTTGTCTTCAAAACAGGGTGGCAGTATGAAAACTACTTGTTGAGGACAACTTTTGTGATGGTCTAATTCCCAAATGTGCCTGCGAGTTCCCTGTTTAGCATTCTTCCCATCCCTGGTACAGATATTGCTATAAAAATAGATAATTGTGAATAAGTTGTTAATGACATGAGAAAAATGTTGTCAAATATAGCACCTGCAAGTAGCTAAACAGCTGGATAGTTAGGCTTTTATAATTAAACAGCTTTTTTATTTATTTTCTCTTTGTTTTTAACTGCATAGAACATGTAACTTAAAACAGTCCCATTTTATAGATTCATATATCTTTTATAAAATTTCATACAATTTAATTTCTTAATTTCTCCTTGCCTCTGTTTTCAAATGGAGGAATGTTCTGTCTGTCAAACTCTTCTTTTGGCTGAAATAATTTTGCTTTTGTTGTGGATATCAGAGGTCTGTATTATTAATTAAAATAATCATTAATAAGTTAGCTCTTATGTTGCAGGGAAAAAACTGCTCAATTCACTTGGCTTGAAAAAAATCAGGATAGAAGTGGTTTATTGATTTATTAACAACATGTAATTAACCAGTGGTCAATGAACTACATATTCAGGACCAGTATCCAAATAACTTTCTACAGCTCATTGCAGGAATTTCTAATCCTTCTACCAGAATAACACAGCAACACTCCCTGCGCCCCCACCCCGCCCCGGGACCGATAGGGTGCTATAGTTTTTTGTGCATCCCTGATGATCCTTACCCCTCACTAATGCACTCGCCAGTGGGAGAACAACCCACGATGCCACATGCATACACCTGAGGTGTGGGTCCCCATGTGTCACTCCACTAGCTGGAGTGCAGCTGCTCATGGCAGCTTACAGGGACGCTGCTGTGCCCAGCCTGGGCAGGGGTTGAAGTGACACGGGGTGACTTCTGGCAGTGTCAAACCAGGTTTGACTGCTGCTCAGGCACCCTCTTCTCACTCCAAAGGCTGTCCCCACAACACAAATTGTCATGCTTCTTTCATACTTCCTTTCAAGCTGACTCCTTCTTTTCTCAAAAGTCTCCTGGTAAACTGCTGGTTACTGCTTAATACAGCTGGTGGTCCTCTTAAGAAAACTTCATTATGGCAAATTTCACTGCAGTGTTATCAGCCTTGGGACAAAAAAATCTCTCAGGTAGCTTTGGGTATTTCCCCTCATATAGTTGAGCTTTTCTGGAGTGAAAGGCAACAACTGTTCAAAGTTACTTCTTGGTAGCAAAGATGACATTTAATATTCTAAAAACACATGGAAATTTAAAAAGACAAAGGAGTTATAGGTCTTTTTTTGCTTTTCAAACTACAGAGGATATGATTCTGAGTAGTCTTGCCCTTTGTAGTAATTAATACTTCTAGCTCTAGAGATTAAGATATATTTCATGCAACTTTATATGTCTACGCTGTAGACATATGAATCTGAGCTAGATTTCCTACACTCCCTTATCATCCAAAAGGTCACTTTCAGGGTGTGATTCTTCTGACCTATTTTCAATGCCTACTTTAGTATAAGATTAATCCTCCTCTAGCAGTGTCCATTTCACTTTACTAAGTACAAATGGATCCTCTGCGATTGACTGGCTCTGATACAGATGTCTAAACAGAAGATTTCTTTAATTTTTCTAGTCTTATCCTGGATATCCCTGAACAGTCCCTACTCCCAGCTATAACAACCTCCACAACAAAAATGCAAACAATGAATATAGTCTATTTAAACAACTATTTGATTTATTTTGACAGTTAACCTAGTTTAGTAGTAAGGGAAACAAGCAGTTCTGAAGACCACAAGAAGCAAGGGGGAATGGAAAGTGAAATCAGGTCTGCATAGCACATAGGAGTTTTTATAAAGAGTGACTGATGAGTTAGGGGAGAGGAGAGAAGAAAATATAAAAGAAAGTTCCAGCTTGACCTCACCAAAGATGAGTACTGGGATTCCTCTGCAGCAACCAACAGATCTGGTCAAATGTCACTCAGCCATAGCTTTCCTTCTTCCTAGTAAACCTGGGGTGATCTGATGTATCCTGTACTTGTTGATAATAAGGACACTGTTTCTGTAACGGTTCCCTTGTCTGCCTCTTCAAAGGCCTGGCTAGTGAGTGAACTGAAAGTATTCCCTCAGTTGGCTGGCCATGTCACTGAGTGGGAACTGACATCAGCGGCTGGGTAATCATATGATTCTGTTCTCTAAATACAGACATTTATAGGCACCTTGATCTTTTCTAGTTGCCCAAACATAGGTGTTTAGTGACATTTGAGATATCCTATGCTATCAATGACATCTGGATAGGGCTACATATTATTAAAATAACATATGGAACATATGGGAGACTCATGTGCTTTAGAAGTAAAGTCTGAGGACAGGTGGGAAATGCTGGGATCTCTAAACAACTCTAGTAACCTCTATTTTGGCAGCTATATTGTCCCTCAAGTGCTTATTTCTCCTCATTGATTGTTAGGGGATTCTGGGTGATTAGCACTACTTTTGATAAAACAAATCCCACTAACATAATTTTGCCTGTAGTGTTATATTTTTGTGCTTTAAAAGGAAAAGATTTTGAAGTTTCAAATCTCTTCTAAATAGTCAGCCTGAGTGGGAACAGAAACAACGTCTTTTGGAACACTGCATGCTGTGCAGTAAGTAGAGGTGGTGAGAGATTTATAAACACATGTTGTTTCGGTTTGATGAAAAAATCTCCATCATTCTGTAAATATAGTAAAATAATATTTATATTTGCAGAATTTTTCACCTTGGTCTGGCTATTCTAAATTTTAATTTAAAGATGCAAAATTGTTTGGTTAGTAGGACCAAATTTCCATCCTACTTCTGAAAGATACCTTACATTTATCACCTCTTCTGCCCTGGAAAAACAAAGGCATGATCCAAAGTTTGCGTAACACTGGCTACATTTGTGCTTCTGAGAGTGATCCCTTTTCCCCAGGCCAAGAGGTGCAGAGTTGCAAATCTCCACACTGCTTAGAGTATAGTTCCTATGAACTATAGAATGACTATATCCCTATGACACAGAAATTAAAGTCAGTTCTCTGGTATCCTAAAAAAGAAATCCTTATTTTATGTGAGGCTATCACTGTTGTTTCTGCATGTGCTGTTAGAGCATGTGTATTTGATAGAGCCAGGGAAGCACTGGATGACTATGTAGGGTGGAAGGAATCGATCCTTATACAGCCCTGCCTATACTGTATACTTGAAGTAAACCGTTTTCAGAAGCACGGCAACATTTTATTGTGGGAGAAAACTAGTCAGTTCACTACAAGGAGCAGCCTTGAACTAGTATTTATGAAATACGCTTGATCAGAAAAGCAGGATCCAGAAGTTAACTTGAAAGCTAAACAGATAAGACCATGGTACTCAACACCTTCACACATACACATCCTGCTTAATCCAGCCCACTCCCTCAATAAAAAAAAAAAAATATCTTACAATTGTATCTCCTATCACAGAAGAAAACCCAGGACCAATGGGCACATAGTACAATCGCAGACAATCTTCTTCAGGGAAGCCTATATTTGAACAGAGTGGAGAGAAGCCAGCCCTAGGCTTCATGTCCCTGTGCTTTTTTATTAGTAATATTAAGCAGCATCAGCACAACCATTCTGATAAAATATAATTCTGGAAAACAACCAAGAACATGCCCAGACCTTTTCTGGAGCTTAGCTGCCTTTAGTCAAGGCCAGCTCATATCATGTAACTGTGCAGCCCTGGATCAGACATGAAAAGAGCTGTGTGAGAAAGAGCTGTGAGAAGTCTCATCATTGCATCCCCATCTTTTGGAAGTTTTTTTTTTAAGGTTAGGCTCTCACTCTTGGTCCTTACCAGAACTATATTGCAACCATGCCAGTGCTTGGCCTTGTATTTCACTGACTTAGATCCTTACGGTGATCCTTACACATACCTTGGACCTGGTACTGATTGGCCTGACAACCTATTGTTAGCTGTTGGCTGACCTTGGTTACCAGCACCAGACCTGCTCTGCTCTTCTTGTTCATGTGCTGTGGATCTGTGTCCCTGTTGTTGAGGGCACTGCCATGCCTGTCACCCTTGGCTCCTGGCTTTCCATCCCTTCTGGAGCAGTCCACTGTTGCTGCTCCCTGACAGGCACAAAAGGATTTGCAAGTTTGAAGGTTGCACAGTGAAGACACAAATCACAACCACTGTTTATCAAAACATCTTTTATTAATTAAGCTGTTATTGAGTTTATCAAGCTGCTATTATTTATAGCAATAACTATTAACACAGTACATCTAACTCCTCCTTCACACAGTTCACACACACACTCACTCATAGTAATGTGTCTGAAGCATCAGTTGAGAGGCGAACCCCAGCAGCTTACTCAGGTGCCAAGGGTCACACTGATGTGCCACTGTTTTCTTGGTAAGTGGTTGGAAAGTGCCTCTATGAGTCCTGTGTTTTATCAGGCATGTATATAGGAACCTGTAGTCTCCATCTACATAAAGCAGCCACTGCCTCTTGGATGTGGTCAGAGCTACAGAACATTTTGTTGAGGCGAATGTATGCTGGTCTTGGACAGATTCAGCTGCTTATTAGCATACTGACTTTGTCAGTTCTTGCAGTTTCCAAAGGACTGCCAGTTTCTGGAGCTGATCAGTTCCTGGGAGACTTTCACACATTACCCCTCAACACATATTTATTCTCTCTTCAGCCTACTTTTTTTTGGTAACTGTTTTTCCATTGGCACCCATAAGTACATGTAAGCACACGCATAAACACCTTCAAACACAGAAAATTAACAGGTTTTCATCTAATGGACCTAGCTAACAAAAGGCTTCTCTGGTACATGGACAAGTGATTGCAATGCCTGTGCAACAGACATCCAACATCATGAAAAAACAGGAAAAAGAAACAAAGGCTAAACAGCTTTATCTTGGACATGTCTGATATCAAAGAAATCATCTCTATATCTAATATACTGCAATTTTTTTTTCAGGCACTGGAATTAAAAGAAAATATATATTCTTATAAAGCCAGAAAGGTCAGAGAGAAACCTGCTGCTTGAATGCTATCCTGACAAATACAACATCCTCAGGGCAAGAGTTTAACTTTTGGAAAATACTTGCATTCTTTTATTTGTAAAATCATCATTCTTTGTATAGTGTGTTTGTGATCCATCCCTTTCATCTCACTGTCGACCTTTTTTGCTAAGCTGCTCTGTTACTCCCCATTTCCTGCCCAGTCATGAGAAATAAGAGATTAAACAAAGATTTCAATGTAGGAACTTGAATCTTATTTTTATTCACAACTTTGTTGTCATGCTTAGCTGAGCTAGTATTTTGACTTCATTAATGCTGAATGTAAATGGATATATGACACTGCAAAGAATAAATGAACAAGTTTCTTCTTGTGAGATGTTGAACTGTATCATATCACATATTTTAAAAGTGTCTGCATTACTTAAGACATGCTCTTCTTTGGTACATTTATAGAAGTAGAAATTATTGAAGAGGGAGTATCTGCAGGATCGGAATCAAAATGAAATCAACTCCTTCCAATAATTATTAATCAGGCTGGGCAAATGTGCCCCCCCCTGAAAAAAAAGAGGGGTTTTTTGTTATTATCATTCTTCCTTTTAGTGCTCACGTTATTACCTTTCTCTTTTCTTGTGTGTGTCATGAGAAAGAGGAACATATGAATAGGGTAAGAGTGGTGTCCACATACTTCAGAAATGTTATTTTCTTCATATATACTACCCAATAGCAAATTCACTGCTTAACCACAAATGTTTCATGCAGCAAATAAAGCTACTGTTAATAATCCTATTCCATGAATATCAGTTTCTTAGTTCTTTTCCTTGGTTATTTCCGTAGGTCAGAGTCAGCCCCCATCTATTACTTTGCAACACCCACAAATAACATTTTTATTACAACAAGTTTACTGATAGACATAGTTAAGCATTTTCCATGCTGTTTTTCATCCTGGATAATTTGATCACTGTAGGGCATGTCTAAGTTGTGCATAATTTTACAAGCTTTGAACAAGGAAATTTACATGACAGAAAGCAAATTTGCCTCAAAAAACTATTAAGAAGAAATAAGATGCAGTAACAAAACATTCCCAGATTGTTTATTAAAGGACAGTGAAGCAAGTTGAAAAAGGAACTGTTTATGCACTTTGGTGTACATTCCTCAGATACTTTCTGTCACCGTGAAGTGAGACTGAATCAGTACCCACTGCTTATTCAGTTTTGTGTGTCAGGTAGAACATAGCAGGAGGTGAAATGAATTCATCTTTCTGTCTTCAAGTGAACTAAAAGCAATTTTAGTCTTCCCATGTGGTCACTTGAGGTGCTTGTCATGTTCAAGCTAATGATATCAGGCACCCCCAGGTTGTTTAAGTATTCATGAAGTAATTAAATTCTCATTAACATATAAATAAAAGAAAACTGAAAACAAGTTTAAGAGGCACCTAACATCTGTTCTAATGCTTTTAAGTATTAAAATGTGCCACATACAGAAGGAAAAGTGCATTCTGTTCAGGGAAGTATTTTGCATAGATTATTTATAGAAACTGTAATTAAACTGATTTGGCATATTAAGTAAAGTTAACAGCAAAGCATTATTTAGGTAGTTCATGTGTCTCTGCCACCTAAATAAGGAATTAAAAATAGGAAAGGGAGAAGTAAAATTAATTTTTGTGTGTTCTGAGATCTAGATAAAATTACAAGAACAATTGAAAAATTACTCCTTTAGAATTAGAGAAATGTAAAATCTCACACTGCAGGCATACTTCCAGCTTCTTGTTCAAAATACATTGTTTTTTTTAATAATAAAATGTTACTGACAGTTGAAAAAAACCCCAACAGTTCTACACAATCACTTGTAAGTTAACCATTACGTGTCTTTAAATTGAGTTTAATGCACAATTCTATCATACAACTTAGTTCAGATACAACCTTACACTCTAAAATGAATTTGTCCTTCTAACATGAAAAAATTTACTCCTTTACATATGTTTTTTTTCCTAAAAATATTAGAACAAATATATTTTACCTATAAGCAGCACGTGTACCTGCTGTTCCATGCCACTGCAGTTTTCTGTATGACAGAAATAGCCAAATAAACTTTACTAATCTTGAACCATAGTTTGAGATTGATAGGCTGGAAAATGGCAAAGAAGATAGAAGAATCTTGGATAGAAGAATCTTCAGAATAAGTTAAAATAACCATTTCATCAAACAGAGGCAGCTGTGGAAGAATGCATTTCTAAGAAGTAAATCTTTCAAATATATCTTTCAAGTGCAATATACAGAATCAATTGTGTTCTTTTCTCTTTGTAACAAACTCTGTCTTGGTTTTTTTGCAGCCTATATTAAAATGTATTCTGTAGTGGTATTAATTCATTGTGCTCTTATTGACATCGTAAAAAGTACATAAGATATATGCTTGTATTGTCTTCACTCTTAATAGAGTCGAATGTATAACCTAACAAATTTAACATTTTTTACTGTTTATTTTATACTATTCATTTCAAAAAGCAGTATTTCATGACTTATTCAAATTCTACATGCCTAGCATAGTTTCTCCTCACTGTGGTGTCTACTGAGGGAAATGTATGCCAATTATGCAATGTGTTTGGTGCATGCTGAAAAGGATGTATTGCGAAAAAGGGCACGTAGACCTACCTGAAAGAAAAAGATAAACCCATTTTTTCTGGTTTTAACTGTGGCAGACAAAAGACAAGTAATTTAGAAATAGCTGCAGTCAGTTATCATTATACGCATAAGCAGCTATTATTCTTTTGTGAAGAGTGCTATTCACCACAGGTAATAACAGTTACAAGCAACAAGTGAAAGTATTCTCCTCTTTGTTTGGTTCAAAGCCTGTTGGTCAACTCATTCAGTACCAGACAACTGTTATGATTAGCAGAGAATAATATTTTCATAGGTATTATAACTGTGAAAAGAAATACAACATCAGAAAAAAATTATATACACCTATTTGTCCAAAACACATACTGCAATGAATACACTAACTGAAGCCTGGATAATTGCAATCTTATACTGGTAAAACCTCATGAAAAATTAATTTGGTGACTTGTGAAACAGGAACTAAGACTCAGTTCCTACTTGCCTACAGGACAAAGAAATTAAACATTACAAGGCTTGCTTCAAAGAATGTCTGCCCCAGAGCAATTATGTGTGCTTATCTAGGTATCCCTACTGATCTTAGTTTATCTCACAAAACACATGAGAGAAATACGGCCTAAGAAAACTCTAATCTTTTTAGGAACTTGAAGATGGGGAGGAAAATGACGAACTCTAGGTCTGTATGAATATAAAGCACCAATATTGGTATAATCTCTTTTAAGTGGGGATGGGTAGTGAGCATGCTATTGCATGTAGTACTGGTTCTAATAACTGGAAGTTAGTGAATGTGACACCCATCTACAAGAACGGCCAGAAGGAGGATCCAGGGAACTACAGGCCTGTCAGCCTGACCTCGGTGCCAAGGAAGGTTATGGAGCAGATCATCCTAAGTGCCATCACACGGCACGTACAGGACAACCAGGGGATCAGCCCAGTCATCATGAGTTTATAAAAGGCAGGTTCCGCTTCACTAATGTGATCTCCTTCTGTGACAAGGTGACCCGCTTAGTGGATGAGGGGAAGGCTGTGTATGTTGTCTACTTGGACTTTAGTAAAGCCTTTGACATCGTTTCCCACAGCATTCTCCTGGAGAAGCTGACTGCTCATGGCTTGGATGAGTATACTCTTCTATGGGTAAAAGACTGGCTGGATGGCTGGGCCCAAAGACAGGTGGTGAATGGAGTTAAATCCAGTTGTCGGCCAGTCGCAAGTGGTGTTCCCCAGGGATAAATATCGGGGCCAGTTCTGTTTATCAATCTTTATCAATGATCTGGATGAAAGGATTGAGTGCACCCTCACTAAATTTGCAGATGACACCAAGTTGGGTGGGAGTGTTGATCTGCTGGAGGGTAGGAAGTTTCTAGAGAGGAATCTGGACAGGCTTGATTGATGGACTGAGGCCAACTGTATGAGGTTCAACAAAGCTAAGTGCCGGGTGCTGCACTTGGGTCACAACAACCCCATGTAACACTACAGGCTTGGGGAAAA